GAACCAGGGAGGCAGAGGTTGCAGTGAGCCGAGATCGCACCACTGCACTCCAGCCTGGCGCCTGGCAACAGAGCGAGACTCTGTCTCCAAAAAACAAAAAGAAAGTATATAGTTATAAGGGAAGTTATAGCCCTAAGAGCACATGTTAAAAAATAAAAAATATTGAAAGTTAGGGTTGAATTCAAGATGCAGAAAAAAAAGATAAACGGCAGAAGAAAGAAAATAACCAAAAGTAGTAGAAGAAAGGAAATATTAAAGATTGCTCGCCAAAACCAAAAACTAGTTTTTTAAAAAGACGAATAAAATATAAGTTTTAAAATATATTTATTTTTTCTCCCCGCCCACCCCCCCAACTTTTTTTTTCTTTGACACAGGGTCTCAGTGTCTCAAAGACAGGCTGAAGTACAGTGGTGTGATCAGAGATCACTGCAGCCTCAAACTCGTGGGTTCAAGTTATTTACCCACCTCAGCCTCCCCAGGATCTGGAACTATAGATGCGTGCCACCATGTCCAACTAATTTTCACATTTTTTGTAGAAATCAGGACTCACTATGTTGCCCAGGCTCATCTTGCACTCCTGATCTCAAGCAATCCTCCTGCCTCAGCCTCCCAACGTACTAGAATTATAGGTGTGAGTTACTGTGCCTGGCCTAAAAAATATATTTAAATGATAAAATACACAAACCTCAGGCAAGGCTGATCAAGAAAGAGAGGTAAGACATAAATAGATGGTATTAGAAATGAAAAGGGAGCCAAGCCCAGTGGCTCACTCCTGTAGTCCCAAGACTTTAGTAGGCCAAGGCGGGAGGATCACCTAAGGTCAGGAGTTCGAGACCAGCCTGGTCAACATGGTGAAACTTCATCTCTATTAAAAATATAAAAATTATCCAGGCATGGTGGCAGACGCCTGTAATCCCAGGTACTCAGGAGGCTGAGGTTGCAGTGAAAAAATAAAATCAGAATAGGTCAATAATTACTAAAGATCGTATCACGGCACTCTACCCTGGACAACAGAGTGAGACTCTGTCTAAAAAAAGAGAAGAAGTGAAAGGGAGATATTAATATAGAGATACAACAAATATTGATAACATTTTAATACTATGAGAAAGAATATTTGTGCCAAAAACTTTGAAAGCTGTCAATTTTTATAAAATGTTTCATTTTTTAAAACAAATATAAATCACCAAAATGATTCAAGAAAAAAATAAAATCAGAATAGGTCAATAATTACTAAAGAAACTGAAGCTTTAAAAGTTTTAAAAGTAGTTTTAAAAGTTTCTCCTATGCCCAAAATGCATCAGGCCTACATAATTTTATAGGCAACCTTTGCCAAACCTTAAGGAATAGATAATTCTTCTTACACAAATTGTTCCAAAGAACAAAAACACACAGAAACCTACCAAATTCATTTTAGGAGTCTCTCTTAGCTCCAATACCTGAATTGAGTAACAATAAAAAAAACTGTAGGCCAATATCACTTACGATATATTCATAAATCTAAATGATTAAAATTTTTAAGTAACAACGGTTCAGAAATCTAATAATGTATATAAAAATAATATAGCAAACTGTAACAAAATCCCTAGAGCTCCACATAGCCATTCTTTGTCTTCAGGCATGAAAACCCTGATTCTCAGCTATGTAGTTCACACCCTCCACATTGCTTCCCAGCTACGACTATACTTCACAGCCTCCCTTGCGGCTAGGTGCCACCATGTGATGAGATTTTAGCCAATGTGATGAAAGTGGTTGCGTGCAACTTTCAGAAAGTCTTTTTAAAAAGGAAGGACTGCATGCCTCTTCCTCTTTCCTGTTTCCCACTGCTCAGAATGCAGACATGACTAGAGGGGCTTGAACTTCAGCTCCTTGGACAAAAAGCGGCATACAAAATACAAGGAGACTGGAGTCCTGACACTGCACTCCCTACATCTAAGCTGGCTTTTTTTTTTTTTTAAGTGAGAGAGAAGTACACTTTTAAGACACTACTGAGGCTCCGTGACTCACAGCCAAGTTTAATCCAGACTGACAATGGTATTAAGCAGGGTTTATCCCAGGAATGAAAGATTGGAAAATCCATTCATATAATTCACCATGTTACATGTGGAAAGAGAAAAATCTATGATCATCTAAATAGATTCTGAGAAAGCATTCAATAAACTTCCACTCATATTTTCTATTTTAAAAAATAAAAATAAGATTCTTAGCCAACTAGGAATAGAAAGGAATTTCCTTAATCTGACAAATGGTATCCATCAAAATTTGTAGCAAACATCATCTTGAGAAGCATAGCCACTAAAGTCAATACCACTCAACAGAGAACAGAAGTCCTATTAAATGGAGTATTACAAGAAAAATAAATGAAAAATACAGATTTAAAAGAAATATCTTCATTTGCAGAAAAATAACTGATGATATAGGAAGGCCATCATGATTTTCAGATAACCTATGAGACCTAGTAAGAAAGACCTAATTCAGCAGCAACGTTACTGAATATAAAATCAACATACAAAACCTAACAGTGTTCCCACACACTAGCAGTGCCTAGTTATAAAATACAACAGAAGAAAAACATCCCAATCACGATAGCCACCATACTGCAAAACGTAATCACCTTTCTTCTGGATCATGAAAAATCCTCCTAACTAGCTTTCTCATTTCCACTATTACTTTCCTCGAATTCATTCTCCACTCAGCAGCTTTTGATCTTTCATGAACATAAGTTCCATCATGTTGCACTCCTTCTTTAACCTTTTCATGGCTACTCATTACTCATAATTAGATTCCAATTCCTTATCATATCCATGCTCTGCATAACCTGCTCCCTGCCTGTTCTCCAATTAACTCCCTCCCTACTCCCCTGCCCCACCCTACACCAGCCACATGGACCTTCTTTCAGTTCCTGATACATGTCAAACTCTTTCCTGCCCCAGCACCTCCACATATGTTATTCCCTCTCCCTGGAATGCTTTTCCCTCCAATCATCACCTGAGAGCTCTTAGTCAATCATCAAGTCTCAGCTTAAATGTCACCTGCTTAGTCTAAATAACATCCCTTTTCTCTTATCTCCTTTTTTCTTTTATATTACCACAAAATGTGCAATAAAATCCCACTACCTGTTATATCATAATGTATAGTCTATTTTTATTCAAGGATTACTTATTCATTGCCTTGATTTCCCTCTAGACCATAACTTCTGTGAGGGCAGGAGTCACATCTTTGATGTTTCCTAAAGCATTTAACACAGTGCATAGGAGCTATTATACAACATGTGCTTAGTAAGTATCTGATGAATGAATCAATCAATCAGTGACAAGAGTTTACTGATTTAGCAGAAGTCTCAGCTAGAAGACCTGCAGCACTCTTCCCAGGATTCAAGGGTTATTAGGAAGAATGGGGGAACCCCCACTCCACAGCCCTCTCTAGACCGGGAACCAAAAAGCCTCTAAAGGGAGTGAGTGGGCTTGGTGGTCCATGGGATAGCACTAGGGTTGGGGGTGGGTAGGATTCAGAACATAGAGTTGCATCCATCCGTGACTCTTATCCCATCTCTCAATAATTCAAGTCACAGATTTGCAAATTGAGTTTGCCACAGAATGCTATTTTTCTGTAATCTTTGTGGCACAGTAAAAGTTTGAAGGACAGCAGCTTTAGAAGTCATGCAAGCAAGCAGGGCAGCATATGACACCCTCGATGAAGGCATTTACAGCCCCAGAGGCATACGGAACTTCAGGGAGGCAAAGCAGAAGTCAGGAAAATTGGTGAATCCCACAGGAACACCAAAAAGACTTGATCAGGCGCACACACAAGACATCCCAAGGGCATTCCAGAAATAGCTGGGGAAATTTAGGGGAAGGACAGCAACTGGGAACAGAGCTGCGAGTAACCGCTGCTGGTGGAACACTAGTTTTTTGTGTTTTGGGTTTTTTTGAGACAGTCTCGCTCAGTCACCCAGGCTGGAGTGCAATGGTGCGATATCAGCTCGCTGCAACCTCCGGCTCCTGGGTTTAACCAATTCTCGTGCCTCAGCCTCCAGAGCAGCAGAGACTACAGGAGCACACCGCCACACCCGGCTCATTTTTGTATTTTTAGTAGTGATGGGGTTTCTCCATGTTGGCCAGGCTGGTCTCGAACTCCTGGCCTCAAGTGATCCACCCACCCTGGCCTCCCAAAGTGTAGAGATTATAGGTGTGAGCCACCGCACCTGGCCTGGTACACTAGTTTTATTCTCCAGTCATATGGCTTAGGCAGCTCAGATTACCACAAAACCATTATGGCCAGCCCCAGGCAAGCTCTCAGACACCATATCTCTAATGACCGTATGGCACTGCCACACGGTCATTAGGGAAAGCATCTCCCCACAGGCACCAAACAACAGAGAGGTCTCTTTCCGGTATCCCCTCCAGAGCTGGCAATGCTAATTATTCAGTGAAAATTAAGGAGTCAATATTTTCTGAGGCCACCTAATGCCAGATAGTGGCTGCTGGTAATTCTACCATCTCGGGTATGCCACAGACTCAGGCATGTAATAGGAACCCCCAACTGGTTAAATGCTTGTGTGAGCCAAGTGAGGAGGAGTGTTGTATCTGCCAGGTGCCCCTGAGCTGCAATCTTCCTGTTTGTTTCTTTTTGAGCTCACATACTTGTACACCACAGGATGTAATGAGGGATTGGCAGATCCTGTCATCCCCTGGAAAGGACAATTGTTTCTGCTCGGCACCTACATGTAACCTTTCCCAACCTCTCCTTCCCTGCAACCGCTGTGTATCTCCTGTCTGCCTCTGAACACCTGGGGTGGGCATGGGCACAGGAACTCTAGGTTTGATGACTCCTCTGGTGACATCTCTGTGGACAGCCTCTGTGGATACTCTGACCACCCTCTATGAAAAGGCTAGGTCTCACGTCCAGGAAAAGAGGATGTGCAGGAAGACTGGGCTAGTGAGGACACTATGCAGCCCTCTCCTCCTGTCCCTCACCGAAGCCTGGGTCCCACCGTGACCTACCTCTTGTCCTCTTCCACCTGCACGCCGATGGAGTGGAACTCCCTCCGGCTCCTGTTCTCGGTGTCCGAGTCTGAGATCGTCTCCACCTGGTGGCAGGGTGGAGGAATCAGTGGCTGTGGCGCGCCAAGGTGAAAGCCCTTCCCGGGGAGAACGTCTAGCAATGGCTGCGCCCCAAGCCAGCTGGCAGGTCCTGCAAAAACCATCTGCCTGAACAAGATGAGAGACCCAGGCGGTCGGCCACAGGCCTCAAAGTGGCAACCACTGGTCTCCAGCCCTCCATTAGTCAGGAGGGGCGATGGTGCCAGGACAGGGACAAGGGAGTGGGCGAGGGCTGGCTGGAACGGCCCCGTCGATCTCCAGGCACGAGGTCCACTTGCAGCTCAGGGCAAGCCACGAAGAAGGTCGATATATCGAGAAGGCCACTTCCAGCCCCTCACTCCAGCCCCAACCAGCCAGGTCAGAGCCCTCGTGGGCGCTTCCCGTTCCATACCTGCACCCCAATGGACGGCCGCCACTTCCGCTGCCGCGCCAGGCTCCGCAGCTCCTCCCTGCCAGGGATGGTCTTGATGATGAGTGTGGGGGGCTTGGGGCTGGCCCGGGGCGGCACCGGCGCCAACTCCAGGGTGCGCGCGCCCATGGCGGGGCCGTCCAGGCCGTCGGCGGAGCTGCAGCGCCGGGCGGGGCCCTCGGCCGCGGTGAAGCTCTCTTGCGCGGAGTCGGTGCTGCTCTGGGCGGTGATGGAGATGCGGGGCGGGGCCTGGCTTCCCGGCGGGATGGGGGGCGGGGCCTTTCTGAAGTTGAAGGCTGTGGCGGGCGGGCACAGAGACGTCGCGCGTGAGGCTCGCGGACCAGCCGGGGTCCCGGGCCCGCGCCCGACTCCCACCCCCAAGCGGCCCTACGGGACCCTGCAGGGGCGCCTACTCCACGTAGGGCTGCACACACGCCGGGGGACGCTCTCCGCGCCACCCGAGCCCGGGAGGGAGCGATCTGCGCAGGTTCACAGCACTGTCGAGGGGATGGCCAGGACCCAGACCCCGCGCGCTCTCCAGCCTAGGGCGGGGCCAGGGGCAGGGAGGTTGTACTCACAGGAGCCGGGCCTCCCTGAGACAGCAGCAGGGGCAGCGAGGAGGGGCAGGCAGTCGTCATCTTGAGAGCAGCCAGCCTGGATGGCCCGGAGGTAGCTGTGGCTCCGCATGCGGAAACAGCCGGGCAGGTCCAGGGCGTCCACGGCCTGGGACTCCAGCTCCCCAAACACGGACCCGCACACGGCCTCCAGCTGCTGGTTCAACTCATCGCTGAGCTGGGGGGCGGGGGGAGGGAGGACAGTTACGAGGTGCCGGGAGGGAGTAGAAGTCCCTGGGGTACTCTGCCTTAGGAAGACCTCTGTATCTACAGCGGCTGTGGGCGACTCTTCCACATTTGAACCAAAAGAAACCCTAACTCTATGCAAAAAAAACATGGGGGCACCTCTGCCCCATTCTGCTCCCCAGGCTTGTCTTGGGGCCCATTCTTTCCTCTAAATACCACACCCCCACCTCTACCCCACCTATGCCTCCTCCAGGTGTCTGTCTGGCTGCACCCCAGGCTGCAGACCACCATGTTTTCCTTTCCTCACCACCTAGTCCCAGCCCCTGACGTTTCTCTCACCTGATCCCAACAGGAGCAGGGACCTGGCATACACCCTCCTGCCCAGTATGGGGATAGGGACTGCTTGGAGGACACCTTTTATTATTTATAATCTATTACATTACAAAATTGATCGAAAGCAACCCATATATATACCAAGTGGCAGGACAGAAACTAATGGGTAAGTGATGGAGCAAAGTTATTAATCTACCAGTGTCCCAAGCCTTTCCCCACCTTCTGCCCACTCACTCTGGCCCAGGCTTAACCGGTGGGTTCCTTCTCTACCTTTCCCCTCTGAGGAAAGCTGAGCCATTGCTGGATGAAGTTCTTGGTTTTGTGTTTGGTATTTTGGTGGTGCAGAATCCATGGTGTTAAAAGAAAAAAAATAAGTTAAAGTATGAAAAGAAGCAAAACAAAAATTTTGTTCAAGGAACTGTGCTGCACACCACCACACTAAGACTAAATATACCATAGAGGTTGCAGCTTCATTCACATTACAGGAGAAAACTGGTGCAAAGAAAAAGTAAAGGTAGGAAAAGTTGCCACCAGAGGTAAGGGCTACACTCAGAACACAGGTGACAAAGTCCTGAACATTGCTCAAGATGGGTGCATATTCAACCCTGAGCTTCCAAGCAGGAAAAGCATCAGGGAGTATAGCCTCAGAGTTGCCTGCATGGGCTATGAGTGAGATCCCACCTAGATTCAAGTGCTGGCTATACCACTTCCTTTTTTTTTTTTTTTTTTTTTTTTTTTAGATGGACTCTCTATTACCCAGGCTGGAGTACAGTGGTGCAATCTCAATTCACTGCAACCTCCGCCTCCCAGGTTCAAGCAATTCTCCTCCCTCAGCCTCCTGAGTAGCTGGGATTACAGGCGCATTCTGTCACGCCCAGCTAATTTTTTGCATTTTTAGTAGAGACAGGGTTTCACCATGTTGGCCAGCCAGGATGGTCTTGATCTCCTGACCCGTGATCCACCTACCTTGACCTTCCAGAGTGCTGGGATTACAGGCATGAGCCACTGCGCCCAGCCAGCTATACTACTTCCTAGCAGAATGCCCTGGGAAAGTAAAAGTTTGGGGGCCTCAGCTTGCTTGCCTGTCAAATGGGAGAGATGATAGTACCATCTTCATAGGGTTATTGAGGGGACTCAAAGAAAAACATATAAGGCTTTTGGTACAGGTACTGGCACACAGCAAGCCCTCAGTTAGTGGCATGCAAAGGTCTCAAGGCCTACCTGGTAAACACAGGCCAGATGCCCATGAGAACCACAACAATTCCTGCCCCTAAGACTAAGAGACCATCATCCTCTGTGGATGATTATATAGACTCCATTGGATGAAGTCATGGACAAGGTCCTCGACAGCATCCCATGGCAAACATAACAGCAAGTATCACATGGCTGCATCTTGTGACATCTCCCAGGAAAGATTCACAACGTTATATTTATGTGCAGTCAACAGAGGCTCAAAGGAGTGGCCTGATCCATGTGTAAACTGTAGTTGAATGTTTCCATAATTCAGTTTCCAAAGCATAACATGATTTACTGGATTCTACTTCAAATAGAGCCATTTCTATTCCAATCTATTAATGGGCAAACAAGACCCAGAGAGGGCAGATGAACTGTCTAAGGATGCCCAGCTGGTAGGTGACAAAACTGAAATTAAATGTCATGCTTCCTGGCTCCCATGTAAGGCTGATTGAGCAACAGAATCTCCTGGGGAGCTTGTTAAACCTACATTAACTCAGACCCTACCCTAAAGATCTGAACCCAGGTTAACAAAACACCTCTCTTGCTTTAACTGCATAGAAACTCAGAGCCAAATTTGCTGGAGACTTAGATTCAGTGGTTCCAATGTGGGCCCAGTCATTAAAACGGTTTGCCTGGACTTCTTGAAGCTTTTTCTAAAGTAGCTTCATTACAAGTGTATGGAAATCACAGGTCATGGAAAAATCAATCTGAGATCCTGTAGAAGTTAAGTTCTCTCATATTTGAGTGTCACAAGTCACACTTGTGTGACAGTCGTGGCTTTCACCATGATGCTCTGTCATCTACCACTCAGTCTTTCTGTCTGCATTTCTGAGGCACCAAGGACAACAGTTGCCAGTGTATTTCCTAAAATATAGGAACTGAACTATCTCCTGCTATTTATGGGCTAAGCTCAAGACACTCCCCAACTAGAGCAAATACAGCCCAGGGTATCCCTCTTGGAGCACAGGGGAGCTAATCTAACCCTAGCAGAAAGCACGCTGATCTCGAGTCTGGACACCAGGGATGATAGGAATCTCACTCTGTCATATATTTCTGTCTCTCTAGTCCTCTTCTGTGTGTAAAGCACTAACATAATATCTGGCACACAGTAGATGCTCAATAAACTTTAGCTACTATTATTGGCAACAAGAGGCTCTTAAATCACAGCAACAATACCACTCAGAATAAGAAGTGCCTCTTTCCCTGGGGTTCCGAAGCTCTTGAAATCCCACCCACAGGCTATACTCACTACCAATTCTATCCAAGGCAGACGAAAGAGGGTGAACAACTCCCTCAGGTCATACACCTGCCAGCTGAGCTGGCCAAGAGGAGCATCTAGTGTTCCAACAGGAGACCAGAACACAAGGGAAACAGACTCAGAGAGACTCCCAGAGAAACACTGCACCCAAGTTGATCTTTACTACCTTACAATTATAAAACTGTAACAGTGTGCTGTGAATGCTCCTTCCTGCACTGACTTCCACCCTACTTCCCCTAACACCCACTTACAGGAAAGTCAGAGTCAAAGAATCCTCTTGGGATGAGATCCTTAGCCTTTTTCCAAACTAGACTGAGAATCAGTAGCCATTTCCAAGCTCACAGAATATTTAAAGTAAAAATGCTTTGTGTCTAATTGAAAATTGTCCAGACTAGAGTTGATGGGTCCAACAGGGGGCCAGGCAACATCCTGTGTACTTTACATGTGTTATTTAGTTTAGATAACCTTTAGAAAACTCTCCTATTTCAAAACATTGGATAAAATATAACAAATGTTGCTTTATATGCATAGCTGAGCTCACAAGAAAGCTAGATAAGTCCCCAGGGGACAAAAGCGAAGAGGAGACTGGAAAATCAGAATATTAACTGTGTGAGCCAATGCTGCAAACAGCCCAGTGGAGGCGGGAGGTGGGGGCAGGAGCTGTTGGTCTCAGTGTTTTGGCAAAGGCTTAGGTTTTAATACCCACTTGGGCACAGGAGGAAGGCTTTAGGCCCACATGGAGCATGGAATTGGAAATGAGAACCTGCATAAAGTTAGGAAAAGTGAAATCTTTGATGAAAATGTAAACGAGAATAAAAAAATTAGTCTTCACCACAGGCTGATGACAAGAAAGCTAGTCTGAAGTACAGGGAGGCGGGAAGGGAAAAGAGGCAAATCCCCTAAGAATCTGTACCTACAAGCTGGTCCTCACACAGACAGATACTGTGTATCTGCATGAACCTTCATGGGCCATACCCCCAAAATTAAAAATTAACATAAAATAGTCCCAAACCAGGGATATTCTAACAGAAGCAATTGCAAAATATTTCCTGGGGAACTCACTCCTAATTCAAGCTGCTCATGCTTCCCATAGATAAAGTTCCATTGAAGATGAGTGTAGTACATGGTAGACAGCCTCTGACATAGCTCCTAATGATCTCCATCTCCTGGAACTCACACCCTTGTGTAATTTCTTTCTTATAAGTGTGGACTGGACTTACTGACCCACCTATAATGAATAGAATATGGCAGATACAATGGGATATCACTTCTGAGATTAGGTTACAAACAGACCATGGCTTCCATCTGCGACACCTTTCCTTACTCTCTTTCTCTCAGAGCCTTTGCTCTAGGGGAGGCAGGCTGCTATGTTGTCAGTAGCCCTGTAGTGAGTCCCACATAGAAGAAATTGATGCCCCCAGTCAGTAGCCAGCAAGGATTTGTGGCCTGCCAACAGCCATGTGAGTGCGAGTGGAGGCAGATCTTCTCCCAGATAAGCCTTGAGATGCTGCAGCTTTGGCTAACACCTTGATCGCAACTTTGTGAGACATTTGACCTACTGGCACCCAGCCAAGCTGCTCTCAGATTCCTGACCCACAGAAACTGTGAGATAATAAATATTTGTTGTTTAAAGACACTCCATTTGGGGATAATTTATATAGCAATAGAAAATACAAATTGTGATATACACAAAAACTAAACTTTTATTGAGTAAAGCCATTGAGAATTCAAGATTTCTCTGTTATAGTAGCTAGTGTTACTTTAGCTTAAACAAAATAACTTTTAAATGATGTTTAAAAGTTCTAAGCTTAAAAGATAAAACTGAAAACATAAGAAGAAAATAAGACTCTAAAGCAGGACTAAATTGTCAAAACCACCATTTTATCCCTCTGAAAATCAATCAAAGGCATACAACAAAGAAACACGTATTCATAAAAATTACTGAACTTTGGGTAAGAATAGTATGACTCTATAGTATCCTTGCCTGAGGCTGCCTTTGTTCACCAAGCCCCCAACACTATCAGTTGCAATACTTCAACAAAGGCGATGCAGCCTGTGAAAAATCAGCTGCTTCACTGTCTCTGCCAGAGGACTTCACTTAATTTGAGGCATTATCAGTTATAGTGCCAAGAAAAGGGAAGGCTAGCAGCACTGCTAGGCTGGGT